GCCCGGCCGGCCCCTCCCTGCCTCCCTCCGGCTGCCGGGCGGGGATCTGCCACCCCCTAGCGCCCGCCCCGCTGCCCCCCGGCGTCCGAAACGACGTTGCAATTCCTCCTACCTCTCCCGGCCCCGGCCCCGCGGAAGGGGCGCAGCCCCTCGGGCGGGCGCACACCTGAGAGCGGAGGGAGGCGGCTGCAGGCCGCGACGCGCACCCATCACCGTGCATCGTTTCCCATCGCCGCCTCCCGGGCCTGCTGGGATGCGCTTGCGGACTGACCCGAGATCAAACTCTTCCTCCTCCCAGGCCTCTCCGTGGTGAAAACATCACCGCCCGAGCAGATCCTGCCCGCTCCTGGACCGAGTAAACAGTTGGTGATGATAATCGCGCAAGGAGCAAATGTGTCAGCGTCGTTTGGAGGAATGCTTTGATAAAGTGGCTTTGATCAAACACATGGCAGAGCAATACTCCGCTATGAGATTTTGCTAACCCTCTTCGGCAATTGCTGCTTAGGGTTTAAAGGTTCTTGATTGAGTAGTTATATAGTAACTCCAGCCACCAGCAGTGTGCGGTGAAATGTGTGTGCGCTGATATAATTTTTTCTTTTATTTGCTCTCTATAAACTAAGGTGGGATGACAGTTGCATTTTAAAACCACGATAAAGACGACTGAGTTTTCGAGCTATTTGGTTTACCGATTAACCAAGTCCCCCGGGCTTCACAAAGTTACCTAAGCTTTATGGTCACTGTGGATCTACTACTATGCTGTTACCTGTCTGCATTGATCCGTTTGTTGACATTGAATAGATATGCATATGCATTTTAAATTCTACGCAATTAAAAAAAAATGCCCACGTTACTAGGTAGTCTTATGCTAACCACTGACACGAGCAAGGTCACACAACCGTCCTGTAATTTTGATACTATACAAAGTTCTGTTTGTTTTCCACTATAAAAGCTGTTGCTACACTAGTTCAAAAATGTTGGAAAGGTGTGGCAAAACCAGCAGCTGTTAATTAATTGTACAGGTCTTGACTATTTTTAAGAGTGGCTTCCAGACATAATCTGGGCTGTTCTTTCCCCGAGAGCTCAAAACAGATGCAAACAAATTAATTTTTAGCCCAACTCACAGTGCGGCTTGTTAAGCTGGGCAGCGCGCATTCTGTGAAGCCTCTTTTCATCTCAGATTCCAGCATTTCCCGTTTGCCTATTGAAGTCTCAAGTTTCATTGTAAATCACTTCTGTAAGTAACCCCGAATCCTGGAAACTTACAGACAGTATTTAAACTTTTGTTCCTAAATTATCTTTTTCTGAGTAGCGACTTCGTCTTGTGCAGTTTTCAGATGTCCACTAAACCTAATTCAGAAGCTTACCTTGATTTACAGCGGATTCTATTTAAACTCAAGAAGCGGGAAGCAGTCGGCTAGCAGCCACCGCAGCACCCGGCTAGCGCGAGCAGCGCGGGCCCGCGCCTTGCCCTGGCAGGGCTAAGCCAGGGCCTGGCGAGGTTAAGCCAGAGCCTGGCAGGGCTAAGCCAGGGCCTGAGCGAGGTTAAGTCAGAGCCTGGCAGGGCTAAGCCAGGGCCTGGCGAGGTTAAGCCAGAGCCTGGCACTACGGGGACCTGCGCCCGCCCTGGGCGCGCGGCAGCGTACGGCGGGGCGGGAGCGCCAC